TATCCTGGGATCATCATTAAAACTCACTATTTGTACTTCAAGATTAAGGTACTGATAAAAACTTTATCATTTGAAGTTGGATATTATACATATTTTAAAATACCATGTCCTAGTTATAACAGAAGACTAAACCAAAGCTTTCTTTCCTATTTCTTCTTCCACCTCCCATAGAAATTATATAGTAAATATAAGTGATATGAGTTCATCAACCCTTTAAAAGCTGTCAGTGTGCTTTACAGACAGCCTCTATTTTCAAATTCTACCTCTCCATCAAGAATGAAAAGATTATACTTCTGCAAGTCATTTTACAGACAGGGATAGGACTGTTCTTTAAAGTCAGAAAGAAGGAGACCATCTACATCAATCATTACAATTTAGAGATATAAATTAATCTCCCAATTTCTAGTTATGTGTGTGCTATTATATCCCATTGCAAGCTATAGATTTTGCATAAAATAAAGAGATAATATGAGCGAGAAGTACAAATTCCTAATACCAAGACTGCAACAGCCACACACTTGTGCTGTACCTACTGGGTACAGGCAGTACCAAGAAAACTGGCTCAGTCCCATCATGTAAAAAGGTTGAAAAGTATTATTACAGATATTGCAGTAACTGGAGGACGTAGATATGCTCCAAAAAAACCTGTAAACCTTGAGGACTGAATGGACAAATCCTACACCTATCTGCACTCCACAAAATTTATGTTACACTATATTAAATGATAAAACAAGAGTTTTGGGTTCAACAACAAAGCAGCCAAATAGAAGGCATAATTGTAAAAAATGCAAATGCCATGGGAAAAAATAGTACATTTAAAAAAGTAAAAATAAAAGAAGGATTATATAGTTAATGACACAAAGTTTGTGATGATAAATCCTATTACATTCCTGAGCTTAAGCCTATCTAAATTATAAGGGAAGGGGAAAGGACTCCTACCCATCATTCTTCTGACTCACTTGTAAGTGGGAATGTGTGTTTTGGCCTTTTATTCTCTTACAGCCATTAGTAAAGGTCAGCAGCAATATCAATCTCATGGAAAAAGGGAGGATTGGAGAAGGAAACGTGCAGGGGTTTGCAACTGCATTTTTAGGTGTACATCGAATAGACAAAGGAGAAATACAAACTGTAGGTTTCTATCACTCGTGTTTCTCCCTCTAAAATAATAGTAACATCAGTAAAGCAGGCAGATAAGAAGAAAAAAAAATCTTGTAAACAAAAGAAAATATGTAAATCGTTTAATTATAGAAATACTTGTCTATCTAATGTCACTGTTAAATTAAGTATTAACTGTTAAAATAAGTATTAAAACTTGTACCTTTACAAGGTACTATAGAGGAAAAGCAAGCATGTTTTATATGATGTTTATATGGTGTTATTCATCACTTTTGAGATGAAACTCCCACTTTAAGTGTACTGTGGAAAAGTAAAATTTTCCTCCTTCTTCTGGTAAATAAAAGTAAAGCTATATTCTGCCAGCTCCAGGGGCGTTAGCAGAACAGTTTTACCACTGTAGCTATATGTCTCTCAGTGTTCTGTAATAAACAAAGCTGACAAAGTTCATGAGGGGGTAACACAGAAGCTCTCAGTCTAAAAGTACAGAAAGATTGAGTTCTTTTCAGTGATAGACAGACAGGAGGGGAAAAAAAAAAAAGTTATTTGAAATGTCCCTAATTCTATTGCCTCTTTGGTTCTTTCTTCCTTGGGAAGTTTGCAGTGTATGAATTTTTAATTTGAATGAAGGCCCAAGGAAGTTCTACTGAAAAAATAAACAAGACATTTACAACAATAGTATTGACAGATCTATCTTCTTGGAACAAAGAACTAAAGAAAAAAACACTTCCAACACAGAGGTTTCTGTTGCGTCCATGGCAATTCAGTACAACACAACACATGACAGTTCTGAAGGAACTGTTTTCTTCCACTATATAAGACATTTTAGAGACTATCCTCTTCTTGAGAATCATAAAACAAGTAGTTTCATGAACATTGGATTTTTCAAAAAACAACAATTCAACAAAAGCCAAAATTGCCATACAAAGGAGTTATGATCTCATCTGAATGCAGGCAAAGTGAGTCATTAAAAGGAAGACATAATACAAGCCAGACTTCCTGCCCAGCTTCCTCTGACCTCTGTTGGCAGCACTATTTTCCTCTTGCGGTAAGAAGCGTGCCTAGAAATTGTTCTTCCCACTATGCAAACTCTGTCAGGAGCATATAACTGACATGCTCGTGCAGCGGGAAGGATCACATCATCAGGTATGCTCATCAACACACATCTTCGACAGTTCTCTAAATGCAATGACTTATGGGGAGTCCTCCAACCCAGTTTAAAAATCTCACTCCAACAGCAACCCAGCATTAAGCATTGCTTAAACGTTGCTTAATCACTTTACTAAACTTTAACATAAAATATCGCCTTGTCATGATTAAAATATTATAGAAAATTGAATGATCTTAAGCCTGATATGCTACTATATCCACACAACAGGGTGTGCTGTGGATCTATCTGCCACCTTAACACTAAATTTCCTGAATCCCATCCAGTTAAATAAGCTCCTTCCTATTATTCTAATATAACATCTTGTGAGAAAACCCATACCTGAATGGTTATTTTCTATTGAGAATCATCTTACACAGCCATATATCAAAACAAGCATTTGTTGTTGTTCACTAATACTCTCCTATTGGGTACTTACATGACTACTGACAGGTTTGAGATTACTGTGTTGGAACCTATTTTCGTGTGACAGCCGCAGTGCAGATACTTGTCGATATACTGGTGCTGAATGCTAATCACTACTACAGTCTGGGAACAATTGCCAGCTACGTCACTTATCACTAGAATGAACAGAAAGGACTTAATTGCCTTATCATGTGCTTTGTGCTTCCTGCTGGAATGGCTAGAAACCACTAGGAAGTACTAGGAGGAGTAAAATAATTATAAACCAGTAGGAATTTCAAGGGTTAATGATAAATGCAGTTCCAAAAGTCATTTAAGGAACTCATTACTCTTCTTCATCTATACAATTTTAATGCTATTCAAAAGAGATCTTAATTGTTTGTATGAAAACTGAATTGAACACAGGTCATGAAAAAAATGCATTAAAAGATGTAACGTGGGATATAGGCAGGACACAAAACATACATTTCCCTTAGTTTGGATATTCAGCTATATCACTTGACAATATTCTGATAGAACAACTTCACATAAAAATAAGTACTTTTAGCTATTAAAAAGTCATTTAAAGTTTATACGCTACACTACAATTTTGATAATTAAAAATTCATAGAACAGATGCAAAGTAGGTACTTCTCTGATGCTAATTAAATAGCATGCTCAAATAGTATTTCCTGTAAATAAAAACATCTCTTCCTTTTTCTCCAAATAATGATCATCAGGGTATAGTATTTCCAATAAAAACATCTCTTCCTTTTTCTCCAAATAATGATCATCAGGGTATACTCATAATTTAAAAAAAAAAAGTGGGAAAGAAGACACAGAAAAGAAAAATAGTAAGAACACTTTTAAAAAGATACGTGCGCTCAACATTTTCAAGACTTTCTAATTGAAATACACAAAATACTAAAATTAAGGGAGAGAATAAAGGCTAAACAGAGTGTTCATAAAATACCCCTAGCTGCTGGCAAAGATTTTATCTTTGTCATTTAATGATGATGAAGCCAAATAGCTGTTGCTGGAATGGAAGCAGGCTGATGAAGAAGGCTTTCAAATTTAAGTGAGGGATATCGCAATTTATATTTTTCTTAGTAGTTCTTCTATCTGTACAATTTCTCTCTAAATTTCATTACTTTCTGTATCAGATGTCCCTTTCAACAGATAGTCATGTGTTGATCAAAAATGTGATATATTGCTTTAATATGCCTGCGTCCTGTTGTATGTTAAATTGTTTGTTCATAGAGCCAGCAAGTTCTAAGCAGTTCACAAAATATCAGTGGATCAGTACTTAATAACAATGTTAACTCCCAGGGGAAATCAGGTTGTTGTGAAGAAAACTTTTTTGGTATTTGATCTAATTCGTGCAAGATCTGATAGAAGCATTCAGCTAACTTAAATAAACAGACTGTGTGTTAAAAACTGTCAGCACATACTGAATACTTACATTATTTGAACACAAAGTACATTAAGTTTAACAGTACATTAAAAAATGAATAAGGTATTTCTTAAGCATGAATCAGTTCTAAAAAGCATGGTATGAAGTAACTTTAACAATTTTCATAAGGAAGGCAAAAAGAAACACAGTATGATGATTTGTGGACATAATGAACTGGACATGTTTTTTTCCAGTTAAAAGAAATAAATGAGTGTAATTAAAACACTGCTAAAAGCACTGTTTATGCATTTAAAAATACAACATGAATTAAACTTACTTAGATGTGTTTAGTATGTTTTTAGAGAGACTTAATTTTACTTCATTCTTAATCAATCAAGTTTCATTTCAAATATATTTTTTTATTACATACACTATTTAAATAATGCCCCATATTACTGTCCACAAACACATTTCAAAATTCTTAAAGTAAATAAACAAATAAATAAAGAAGTCTGTTTGCCATTCCTAGGTTGATATCCAGCTAATTAAGCGTGGTTTTAGGGGTAATTCTATTATAATTTATAAATGATCCAGGAAGTAAATACGTGTGTGCATATATACATAAACATACATATACCAAGAGTTACTCTGTCTACAAACACACCAGCATGTATCCTTGCTATTTATTAATCAAATCAAATTTAAAAAGACTATTTTACAAGATATTTTGCTTTCATCAGAGATTTTAAAAAGACAACAAAACAAATTAAAAGAAGAAAAATGTTTTCCATTCAATTTACCAATTTCTAACAAGTTAGATATCTATGGTTATGGGTGTATATATGTGAATGAACGAATAAATCCTTAACCCACCATATCTTTTTCTCCAGTTTGCAAGCTGTCACCCGTGAAAAGTATGGTGTAGATGGTAGGATGATACTGTACCTGATTGGCTCTGGAGGTGGTCATGGGATCAGATGGAGAGGACTTGGTGGTAGTTGGGGAAGATGGCAATGTCTGGGAACAAAGCAGTTCAGGAGCAAATCAACCTTTACAAGCCTTAGACTGAACAGTTAAAAAAATAAATAAACCAACAAAAGTAACATAACTAGAAAATTAAAATAAATAAAAAATGCCTACGACAAAATCTTTCTCCTACTCATTGGAACTTAATGGAATTTAAAGTCAATTGGATAAATAATGCATGTAAATATGCATGCTTATGCATGTAAAAAACAAATTCATGACTTGAAATCAAGATGGTGAACTCACATAAATACTCAAAAATATGCTGACCACATGAGGAATATATTCTTTCCTCTCTCCTCCTCTTGGGGAAAATGAAGACTATAGCAAACACAAATTCCAGCAAGTTCAATGAGCACACTAGAAACAGTTCTCACTCTACAAACAAACAGGGCCAACGTCTGAAAGAAGTTAGAGACATTTACTTTGGCACCTTATAATGCACCATTCTGTAGCACGGACTATAGCCAGCAAACGGTGTTACATATCTTACAACAATTACACTGAAGCTACTGAGTTTTTAGCAATATACTAACTGCTAAAATATTTATTGATCTTTTTTAATCAAGAGGCAGGTGGAAAAAATGTAAACATCAATCTCATGATGGATGAACATGCAACTAGTACCTTCACAACAAATTACTACAATATATTTATGATTAGCGTTAAAAATGTTCATTTAGTTGAGCAAAGGTTAATAACTTATCATCAGGCCTGTGTTCAAAATAAACACAAAAAAGAATTAAGAGTCATATTTATTGATCATATTTTCTAAATAATATACATACGCTTAACATTAATTCTTGAACATATCAAAACAGCACTGCTCTGTTTAAAATTTTTATATACACATTTCTCTTTTTAAAGTATTAGATCCTGACAGAATAACTCTTCTTTTCTTTTTATAAACGTAGTGAAAATGTAAAATTCCAATTTTCAAAACATAACATACAATACTTATTCAAAGCATGTTTTTTGACATCTTTGTAATATATAAATATTATAAAATATCCAAAATTACACTACTTTTACTTTAAGAAATAAGATGTTAAAATGCTATACAATGTGATTTATCATATGGTCATATAATTACTAACCAAAACTATTTAGAAATAAATGAAGCAAAATTTCAAACTTTCAGCAGTTCTGTTACTTACAATCATTGACAGTCCCTCATAAAATAGGTATACATACTTTTGCACTAAAACTCTTAATGCATATGAGAAAGCTGGGACACTGTGAATGCATAAAGTTGTGTATTAGCAAAATATGGGCTTGTACATATGCACACACAAATATCTTAGCTGTATGTTAAGCAATATGAAGATCCATTTTTTCATAGTTTGTACATAAACAAGCAGCCAAAACAGGAAAAAAAAAAAATCTTAAGAAACAGATCGTTATTTTGTGTTTCCAACTTTAACTCATGTTATAAAACAATAAAAACAAAAATAAAACATATACAGCTTAAGCATCAACTGGGACTCTTTCAAGAGGCTTACGTAAAAAATACTACCGTGGATAGGGTATCATAAAAAATATATAGCTTGGCAAAATGTTATTGGTCAGCAGACACTATACATTGTGAAAATCAAGACAATTATAAAGGATTCTCCCATGTCTTTCTGTACAGAACATGGGTTCATTCACGAGGGGCTAGAATTACTTAGAAAAAGAAACGTCAGATTCCACAATAGTACAGGGCCAACCCTATTCAATTATAGAATTATACTTTTGATTTTAGTGGGATGACGCAGTACCTCTCTTACCAAAGTCTGAAATTCAATGAACTGATTTTCATCATTTAAGCTTAAACTAACGGAGAAAAAAACCCAAAAAAGCCCCATCCAAACAGAATGGAGGACTGTAACTTATCCTGATAGGTCTTCTTTATTATAGCTATATATTAAACTCTCATCCTGAACTAAAAAAAATAAAAAACAAAGTTACTATTCTCCAGCAAAACTCTGAAAATATATTTTGACTAAAATATTTCAGACATCTGATAGTTTGTGTGATCAACACCACTGCTGACTAGGGCATACTGTTTTGTATATTGTTTTGGTATGCTACGCTAATTAATAAAAGGAAAATAGTTTATTCTTCACAGGTGTTACTAAATCTATCTGGTGGATTTATAAGAAAATATGTAGAACACTTCAACACTGAATAAGGACCTAATCACTGATACCACAAGTAATTTAAGAAACTGGAAGCATCTCAGTTTTCAATTAATATCAATCTTCCTAAAGCACAGAAATGTATGGCTGCGATGAAAAAGGAGTGACGATACTAATTTCAGGTGACTGTGGAGCTATAACATGTATTAAGTAGAAGCATTTCACTATTCCATTTCAGCAAAAGCTTTTTTAAAATACAATGGAAAAAAGGTAAAAACATTTAAAAGCAAAACAAATGTATTAATGAACAAGAATCAAGTACGGGCATACACATTTTTTCCCCAATATACATACCAATGACAAAATACTGACAATAGCAACAAGGTTTTTTGTTTTGTGTTTTTTTGTGGTTTTGCATATCAGGTTGTTTGTGTTTGAGGCTTAATTTCTCTTACTTTGTTTACTGATATAACTGCTTTTATTTTTTTATATATCTATACATATATATATTAAAAAGTGTATATATATATAAAAGAACTGACAGCATTATGTAAAAATTCATCCCTTTTCATGCTTCTGTATAATTCTGGAGACACATTAATTTATGGAGACACACCTATTTATTTCTTCAATATTAAAGAAAAACAAAGTAATTTCTCAAAAATAAAAAAGAAACACAGGCATTTGGATTTTGTATTGAATTTCCACTGGCTGATAAGTAATTTATTGATACACTCTCAATTGCTTTGCAAGAACATTTAGGCAAAATTACTTCTTAAAGAAAGTTGGACAGAGCTCAATAATTCTGATTCATTACGTAGCATAGAATTATTTTTTTAAAATTTGGCAAGTGTTTTGCATTAGGCAAGCACTCGAATTTAGTAGTTATTAGGCTTCTGGGAACGAGATGTATAAAGTGATTAGAAATCATAAGATGAATTTACATTACAGTTTCAATGAAACATGCATACTATAATTGAAGCTTTCCTGAAATTGCAGGTTGACTGCTGGCAAGGTTATAGAAAAAAGCCAGTCAGAAATTCTACCACACACCACTTCTTAGACTTGTGAGGTTTTTTTTTAAGCTATATCTTGAATAGTATAGTCCAAGCTATGGTGAAATTGGTCTTCTCTGTTTCCTCAAATATTATTTCCTTTCCTATTACTTAGGAGACAATGAATGGAAGACTATATTTACAGGAAAGAGAGGGTTGTTTGTTTTTACTTTAAGTTTCTAGAACAGATATTTGAGAAAACAGATTTTAAGTAATAAGAAAGGAGCTTAATTTTAGAAATAAAATTCTGTTTGAGCCATACTTGAGTTGTAGTTTTTTCTGAAAGTCCAAGAAAATACTTCTTCCTTGTGTTGCTCACAAGAATTGATTATACTGTGAGAAGTGCTCTCAGGCTGCACAACATACTAAAGGGTGCAGAAAGATGGTCAAAGCATCACACTTCCATGCTTCATATTTTTGAGTAACAGAGTGAAGATTTAGCTGTATCACAGCAGTATAGAATACATATACTCCATCTGCACAGTGTTGTAAAAGGTCTGTGAGCCCTCTTTCAATGACTTCATGAATTGCCTGATGCAGATATGTATAAATGACAAAAGTCACACCCTTATATATGCACTAAAAAAATTTCAATACTTACACCCTAGATAATAAATATTGTACTGAGACAGTTAATTCTCAGTACCTATTAATATATTTATATATAGAAGAGTAGAAAGAAAAGGCAGAAAATGAAATACCACTTGAAAACAGGGTTAGAGACATGAAAGCATATAAAGAACATCATTTAAATGTAAAGATGAAACT